CCAATCCAATCTAGTTACTGCCCGTATCATACTCAGGGCTTTTGGAAAGAGCTTAACGGGCTTAGGGGCCATTTACCAAACGCTTACCCGGGTAAGCGCTTACCAAGGCACATTACCTTACCGGATGAATATGGTAAGGACCAAGAATCTTACCCTGTAAGAACGATGCAAGGACCAAGAGTCCTACCCGCTAAGTGAGGGTGACGACTATTACCACGGTTAGCGCTTACCGGGTAAATTGTCGTATACGATGCCCGTTTTTATGGACTAAAATCTTACCAGGTAAGTAAGTGATAGTGTTGATTTGTACCGGTAAGCGCTCACCAAGTAAGTGTTTGGTAAACGACCCCTTAATGAAACTTATAGCTTATTCCATCAATGTTTGTTTGTGCCTTGTTTGTTGACTAAGATATGGGCGTATTCGTTGAACCCGGTGACACTAACTTAACCCATACAACCACTCCATTTCCATATCTATATAGAATTGTACAGAAAACAGGCAACCTGCTCAACTCTCCCAATCCAACCCGCAAACAATCCAATTAAACCAAACCCGCCAATTAATAGGGTTGAAATGGGTCTGACCTAACTCAACCCAACCCAATCCGCCAACCTGACGCTAATATATATGATTTTGATAAAAATTCTTTTATATTTATATGCAATATAAAATTTTATTTATATTTACCTAGTCCGAGTCTCGTTCTCGTTTTTAATCATTTTTTGGAGGACAATTTTCTTCATTTTCTATTTTTTTCATCATTGTAGTACTCTATTTACAAGTTGCCATATGTCGTACATTTAATAGCAGATTAGCAGCAAAAGAATTGAATTAAGGGGTTGTTTGGTTGGTTTTCCATTAAGTTGTGTATGGATAAAGCTGACTCTGTGGATTAATCTATCTGTATAGATTGGGAGGGTTTTTGTTTGGGAGGCTTCTTTACAGACAGAAGGAGAGTGCTTTTTAATTGGGAGGGGAAGGTTTGGAAAAACTAGGTTTTCTGCATAAAGCTGCCCCTACAAGCTTAGAATAAGCCACTTTCTATATCMTTAAGCCACTACCAAATATTCATGTATAGCTGACCACATAAATTAGTGACGCTCATTAAGCTCATTATACTATTAACAAACAAGCTCTAAGTTATGCATACAAATGTGTGAAACAAAGCAATATATAATTATATATATGTACATACATCTCTTGGTTAGGTGAAGGCAACATGCATAAGTGTTGGTATGTAAACATATTTTCATCCTATGCAAAGCACAATTTGTTCAAACGTTGTGTGTACTTACGTATCAATAATCAATGTTACCTATTTTTTATATGTATAGGGTTAAATCGAGTGATAGACAATATGCTCTTAAGTCACCAAAAAATTGAAGACACATACATATTCATAAGAATGATGGAAACTAGCCAACCCAACCCAAAATGGTTGGTTTGGGATGGGTTACACTTTGTAACGAACTGGATTGGGTTGGGATTTTTTCAAACTGCCGTAATTGAGTTGGCTTTTCTAAATGCATCAAATTGGCCAACCCAACCCGCGTACACCCCTCGAATCAAGTAATGGATGAACATAGAATCCAGAGGATGATGCAAAMACAAGTTGAAATCACAATAAACCCCTAGTTTTTTATAGAAAACGATGATGGATCGAGTGATATTTTTGGGGTTATAAGTGGTCGGATTGGGATTTGATTATTATGAG